AACAAAAAACAACTGAAAAATTGATAAAACTTCCATCAAATTCTAGCTCAAAGAGAGATTTAATCATGAAATTCTATAACCCCAATGCTCAACATTGCTGCAGATTATGAACTGTTACATTGTTCTAATAAATCTAAAGAGTGCTATATCGACTGCAGTTGTGAACAGACTTCTTAACCACAACCAAGTAGAGTCAGATTACATAGGAATATTTGGATAGCTATAGTGATGCTGACCTGGCGATGGACCATCCGACAAACTGAACGCTCCAAATCTGAGAAAACCTGCATAGGAGGAGGAAAATAAGAAAATAAAAAAGCTTGGCATGTTGTAAAGTTAGCAAAGATGGGAAAGCAGGCTCAAACTAAAATATTTCTTCAAGACGTAAATTATCCATTCATCTTGCTGTTATACAAGAGTTTTCCCACTGAAACAGTACAAGAATTTCTAAAAGAAGGTTGCAGCTCAGCTAAATAATTGTCATATCAATGTTTCATCTTGATTTTAATTTTCATTGCTATTCATGAAATGAGAGCATGCAGCATGACGATTAATGAACATCAAGGACAATCATAAAGGTGTTCCTTACAAAAGCACAAACACAATATTATGTACTCATAATCTCTGAACAATTTCCTTAAAAGAAACTTAAAGCCTCCGACTTAAAAAATATCGTAAAGTTTAACAAAAATGAAATCAGCAGGTTAACTTAATGCGAATTTTGGTATGACCATGAATCATTAATTTTATCAACCAACTATTTATGTCATGCATTGACCCAGGAACCAAATAGCAACAGTAAAAGTAAAACCAACAAGTGCAGTAGCTCATAGAGCAAATCAACCCACCGTCATTGTGTTGATCTCATACAACAATCACTTTTGCAGCATACTTTAAAAACAGTGTGTAAATAAATTCATTAAAGTTACACACCGTGCTCCTTCCAGTAAACCTTTCTTTCTGCACAATGCTGGTTTTGGTTTTTCTACTTTTCCTATTTTAGTTTTATGAATAACTCCAAGTAAAACATTCATAATAAAGAAATAAATCCATTATCCATTCAAAACAAGTATCGTTGTGGGAAGATGAATATACAATTCATCTTGGCAGGATTTACAAATTCAACAGGATGCATACCTTTGACATGGAGGTGAATATATCAGCCAAAAAGAAGTCAGCAAATGATATTGCCTGCAGTCACAAGGTACAACTATATGAGAAAAAAATAATTACTTCAGAGGTAAGAACATTCCTTTGAAGATTTTGCCATTACAGAGGCACAGAGAATTTAGGTGATTAGAAAATTTTGATCAATATCAGATGGCATAGATTTGACTAGGAGATTCAGGGTTGTTACTTTTTTGCTAATACTTAGGAAGAAGAGATACAATAAAAAGGTGTCAATTACAGAATACAAGTGAACCCATCAAATCTGAAAGCAGGCTTTTAACTGGTGAAGAGAATACCGACACGGAGAATGTGATGGACACAGATTTTAGTTTGACTCCTGATTACATATGCTATGTAAGCTGGGAAGCAAAGGGAGTTTAAGTGGTCCCTTGGTTTTTATGCTTCTTTCTTTGTTCTGTTCTCCACTAAGCAACAAAATGGCAAGTAATATTTTGGATCACAGGTAACTAAATAAACCAAAAAGACAAATGCGAACAACATTTGCATCTCTCCGGCTTCCAAAAGCCAAAAAAAAAATTAAAAAAAAAAAATCATGCCTTCAATCTATTTAGAATCTAAAACTTGCCTGTAATGGGAACACGATTCTCCAAATAGTCCTCAGTAAAAAGTAACGAGATGACAGATGAAAGATATCAAAGGGGAAAATGAGGGTCATTGCAAATGCTGCATATAAGAGGACCTGGATGTACCAACAAATGTGTTACTACAGGTTATAGCACACCGGTGTAGATATAAAATATGGAGGTTAAAAGAAAACCATGTCTGTTTCTTGGCAGATCAGCCAGGTTCCATAATTATATGTGTGGGTACAAAAGAAGATGTAAAAGGGCATGCCAAGAAACATCTAAGATGACTTCAAAGTATTTTATTAGGCATCACATACATAGAATAGCATGATATATTCATGTATTTATATCATTTAACCCAGACAGTGACACATGAACTCAGATAATTAGACTGAACAGAAATAGAGGCTTAGGTATCATGATAGTAGTCATATTATTTAACCAGGTATGATTCAAATGAGGAAAGGAAACCTTTCAAAACTAAAGGCAAAATTAAGAGAAAAAGATTATTAACATCTGAAATAAATGGTGTGTACACAATAACTATATAAAACAAGAACCACAAAAATAAGTACCCCCTCCATTTTGAAATATAAGGCGTATAAAGATTTCTCAATTTTTTTGAAATATAAGGCGCGCTCAAAAATCAAGAAAATTTTTTGCATTTTTTTCCAAATATACCCTCATTGTGTTGAAATTAAGGAAGTGTGGAGTGGTTGTGATTAGAGTAAATAAGGTTAATTTAGTCAATTTATTCATTAATTAATGTCTCCTTAATATTTGTGCAATAACCTTAAATGCCTTATATTTCAAAATGGAGGGAGTATTATATGTTTACTCCAAGAAAGTTTCGAACTGTGTTCATTAGATTCAGTAGGAAAAAGACGTACAATAAACTATTGTGGCTTTTCAGGGTAAAAGTAGAATTTAAGAGAATCATCATAATATTACAGATAGTAAGTTCAAAAAAGAGAACATGTGAAATTCATCATGTACCATGAACAAATCATCAGAAAGGAAATGCTCAAAAATAAATCTATAAGGAAGCATCTATTACACTGGTTGAGATGCAGCCAAAGAAACTTCTCCATGAGAATAAAGATAAAGATACGCCGTCATGCTTGTTGGGACAATAATCGTCATCCACATGGCACACTGAGACATTCAAAGAGTTGTAAGTAAAATATGATCAAGCATCAGGAAATGGAGAAAAGTGACATAAAGGCCAGACTTGCTTCTAAACACATAATTGATACTTTTTAGATGACAGAACAAAATCTATTCAGATTATAAAGTTCAAGGAGAACCACTTGCAAAGCAATCATATATATTTGGATAGNAAAAAAAAGAAAGAAACATAAGTATGAGAATCTGATAAACTCCAGAGTAATGCCGAGAAAAATCAAACAAAGTTCAAATGCTACAAACATACTGAGTCAAGGAATCGTACAACTTAATCCTAAAGAACTTGCACCGCTATTCGATGCATTAATTGAACGGACACAAATGCAAAAGTTTACACAATAAACCAGCATATAGCAGGAAACAAACAGATATAATGGCAACAAACTTAAGACTAGTAAGTAGTAACTAGCCAGAATATGGATTGTTCAAACTTATGGTAACTAGCCAGAATATGGATTGTTCAAACTTATGCATACCTTCCATATCTCTCTATGACTCAGATGATTTTGGTCTAGGTCAAAAATTTTAGCATAACCAACATTAGCCTGGGCAAAAACCCATAAATTTATCCCCCAGAGCCAAACCATCATAGTCTGCAATTTTACAAGAGGAATGATAAGAAAAGGACTCAACACATATCATACTTCTAAGCTTCCACAATTATACTACAAAAACTAAAAACTCAGTAATGTAGTTCACTGACCACAAGGAGAAGTGGATTATAATACAAGAAAGCCTCATATAAAAATAAATCCCGAAGGTCTGCACTCATTCTCATCACTGAATCCCATCCAATCTGCCAATAGCAGGGTAAAACAATAATCGTAAGTCAGCCGGTAACCCATATATACATGACTACGTATCAGGAAAAGATGTCAAACTGACCTTGCAACAACTGAATCCCCATACGAAAAACAAAAGTACCTGTGCATTAAGTTGTATGAAAAATGAGAAGCTTGCTAAAATTTAAAAAATCTAGACAACTGAATCCCCATATGAAAAAGGAAGTACCCGTACATTAAGTTAAGTTGAAAAAGTGAAGCTGGCTAAAAATATAGAAGTTTAACACAGAAGTCGGAACTCAATCCAAAGACATAAGAACGAAGCATATCAGAACCACCATAAACCACAGATTCAATGAAGCATGAAACTCCTATTCTCGGTAGGAAATGTTGGAGTTACTGCTATGAAGAATGCCGCCAAGTACCAATGTAGGCTTAAATTCGAATCAAATATCCAGTCTACAACTACAAAAAGTGGAAACAAAAGGACCCCAGATGGATGACTACTGAAAGCTGGATGACAGAAATGACAAAATTATTTCAGTTCAGTACTTTAAATTTACATTGAAATGTTTCAGAGTTCATTAAGTGAAATCATCATTAACTCTACCAATCAGAAATCAACTAACGGTAATACCTTGAACCTCCACAGAAGAAGAGGAGAAGGCATAATTGCAGCACTGCTCAACGGTGAAACCCCACCCTTCATTTCATTCGACTCTTTAGAAAGCAGAAAATCTTCTTCAGAACTGTTTCCCAGATCACCTGTGACATTGCAGATCGTATTTCTAGTACCAGAAAAATGCCAACGTAACCATAGCACTAACACAATATCACATCAACAGCATACGTCACAAAGATAATAAAAAGTACTAATGACATATATTCTCTTACCGATATCGAACACAACTGGTCGACTTCCTGATTTGCGTAGATGAGGACTATTATTGGGGATAGGCTCGAGACCTCCAAACATAGATGGAGGCGATAAAGACACAGGGTTTTATGCCGTCAAAAGCGTGCTAAAAACTACTACTGCAGGACAATATGAACAAACTTCATGGAACTTTATGTATAATTCGAAAATGCACATGGTACTTCCACACTTGAACAATAAAAGTAAGGAAGTTAAATTTCTTTCTACTTGGTAATTTTTTTTAAGCAATACATAGGAACTTATGTGAGTGAAATCCACGAAGTAACAATGTGGCATCTGTAGGAATCAATCAATGCACTCTAAATACAAGACCTCGAACAAAAAGTGTACACAACACACATCTGAAGAACTAGAAGCTAGTATATATTTAGAACACTTAATAAATAAAGGATAGCTTGATGTTAAGAGTGTGCGATGGAGAAATATAAAAATTAGCACATTAGTTTATAAGAAGCATATCCACACTAAGAACAAAATTTCAAACCTCTCCTCTGGCTGCTTATTTTCTTTTATTATATCTGCTCTTTACTGGTATCCCCTTTTTTACTATCTTCTGTGTGTATATTTGTAGCTTACTTTGTTATTTTCCTAAAATATTTTCTAGAGAGCACTGGAAATCTTTTCCCACAAATTTGCAATAAAAGGTTGCTGCAACAACATTGAATAAAACAAACACCATTATTAGTGTGATCAGAAGTATAAGTGGGTTATTTTTCTAAATTCTCAGTTCCGTTTCTTGTCCTTATCGACACAGCATTCATTACGTAGAGACAAATAAACAGCCACCACTAGCATCAACGAAGTATTTTCCTAGTTTTCACAACACCATGTACCCATTTGCATATCCATTTTCCACACTGAATACCAACCAGTTATTCGCTTAAAATCATGGCACAATATACATACAGATCACACACTCCAGATCAAACAAAACAGTTCCCACAACACCGAGAAATTCTCGATTAACGAAAACCCATTAACACAAATGACAACGTCTTCAAGTGAGAAACAAACCAGACGAACACATACAGAAAAAATAAAAAAATAAAAAAAGAAATGCAAAATGATTCACCTGTGCCAGCCCGATTGCACCTCCGCGCATCGACGGAGTTCCTTCAAATCTCCACCGGCGGTGGAGACGACTGTCAACAGCAAGATCCGATCCGGGATTTTTCACACACGGGTTTGGATTCAGCTCTTGGCCTTAAATGTGGTGTGGGATTGAAGTAAAGTGAACCTTTTTTGTGTGCCTTGAGAGGAAATCCCGGCGGATCAAAATATGCTCGCTTTTGTTATTTCCCACGACGGTGACCATTGCAGGGAATGCTCTTTATAGTGTTAAAAAATGCCAAGTCTAAAACATTTGCTATTGGGTACAGAAAGTTTTGAAAATATTAAAATGGGCCCAGATTGTATATAAGATTTTTTCGAAAAAAAAGTTAAATGAAAAGGTGTAAAATTCTATATTTAGAACTTCGAGAAAAACAAAATGTACTGAACGTGAAATGAAAAGGTGGATAATTTTATTTTCAGAAAAAAATAGATTAATTAAAAAATATGTAATTAAAGTTGATATGATGTAAAATAATAAAATATTGAGTAATAAAATTGTTAGTTAGAAATATATGAGCTGGTAGAATATTATTCTTTAGAAAAATATATGATATAATTACTTTTTATTTTTATTTTATGTTAGTGAAATTGTATAGAAAATGTTAGTGAAATTGTATAGAAAACAAGTGAGACGAAATGAATAGTGTTATTATGGGATTTTTTTATTTAATTTATTATTTAAATAAGATAAATATGGTTGAAAATATTATGACAACCCTTCATAAAAATGGTCATGAGCTATTATTAAAATCAAATAATCAAAATCTTGTCAATTTATGATGGTCAAAAGTACTCAAATTACCATTGAAAAAATGCATTTGAAGCATGCTAAACAGTACTTATATAATGATATGATTGATGATTTTATTCAAAAGTTTTCCTTTAGACTTTGAAAACACATAACTTACGCGCGAATATTATCGATTATGAAGATGCTAGTCGGTCTATAGAATAAGAAATGATTTATTTTGTCATGCGAGTCTAAATCATGTGTTAGCAAATATCTATATTTTTATTTCTAATAATAATAAGCAGCCAAGATATAATCTACAAATGCTTAATGTGTATTTTTGTAACCAAAAGTATTATTAAAAAAAAATCTAGCATGATTCTCTTAGTTATAATCTGTAAATGCTTGTATGTGTATTATTATAACCAAAACCATTAAAAAATCTAGCATGATTCTATATTTTAATGAGGAATCATATATCATATATGTAACCATTTTAAATATCTCATTTACTCAGATTTCATTCAAATATCTAAATCATTAATGAGAATAAAATTCATAAGTAGAAATGTAGAATTGGGAAAAAAAAAAATCTCTATTTCGGGAAATTTGATGGATTTTTCAAAAATGACTATGCACATATTATTTCAATAAAGTCCATTAACTTTGATGATTTTCACCAAAAATAAAAAAATGCCTTATGCACATATTATTTCAATAAAATCCAATAGCTGGGGGTCTCCAACAGAATGAAGACAAACTTTAATATGCACGATTATCTTTACCTTTTAATAAAAATTCATTATAAGATATAATGAAATTGAAATTGCATCGAGATCTTTGAACAACATATAATTTGTTGAAATTCATCGATGGCAGCCGTTATTTTTTTACAGACAGAAAGAGCTTGATTTTATACACACTGAAATCAATATTAATGAAATTGGATCATTGATTTTCAAATGAGAAAACATGTAAAATTTGAGTAACAAAAGTAATATTTTCCTAAACAAATACAAGTTTCACCTAGTCAAAAATTCCTGAGTGCCAAAACTTTCCTAAACAAAAGCTAAAAAAAGGTACAAAATAAGAGAAAAAAAAAAAAAAAAAAAAAATGTGCCTATAAGATAATTTACATGTGAAGAACTCAGTCATGGGTAGATTCAATCTTACCTCCATAGTCACTGGTTTTAACCGTCAAATCAGCACAGAACCACACATTTTGATAGCTAACCCTAATCAAGAAAATACTCGAGGCCTAGTAACTCTAATAGAGCTTCTGTTTGAGGGTTCCTACAATGTCCTGCACGAAAAACAAAATGGCCAAGCTTCAATCAAATTAATCAGATACAAAGCAGAAGCTCCCTAAAGTCCTCGTCACATTTTAAACCNAAAAAAAAAAAAAAAAATTATGTATGCAATTTGTTGATATCTAGTTGTGTCAAGACTCACCAGAAGGAAAATTGTTAGTCGCATATTGAGAAGAATTATGGCATGGAGCAGTTGCAACAAATTCAAAAGGCTTTCTGCCTCGAGTTTGCAACTTATCCTTCACAAACCGGCGGCACTCTTCCAAATTCAGCTTAGCATCACTAGAAAAACATTATGAAATAATCATGGAAAAGACATAAAATAACAATTAAATGTTGCCGTTTTAAGTTGAAATCGGTACACAAACCTAAAATTTGGTCGTAATTTAGTCCGAGGGAAAATTGGGTTAAATTTCTTAGTGATTGCAAGCCATTCCTCGTCGTATTGGAGTTCGTGAGGCCCATTTTCTGATTCAATTTCGATAACCTATAAAATATTCAAGGGTTTACATAAGGAATAATAATCGGTTTATTAAACCTGTTTACCACAGAAAGTAGCAGCAACCTGCAAAAATTTATTTCCAGGGAGGCACTTATCGAGAGCAAGAAATTTCGTAACGGGCCCGTTTTCTCCATGTTGAACGAGAGCCGAAAATTTGCAGTGTAAATGTGCCGAAAACCAGTAAGATGGCCTCAACTTAGCCATAAGATCTCTTGCAGCTGGATTTCCCAATGTTCAATTAATTAATTGGCATCACTAATATTTTACTTTATATACAAGAAATATAAAACATCTAAATCCATCAAACTCAAAGCATAGCATAAGTTATAAAATGGTACCTCTTGTTGAAAATGAGATTTTCGGCGTAAAAGATCTTGTGAGTTTCCATAATCGGTAATGCCAAGTGGCCAATCATGAGAAAGAAAAATATCAATTGGCTCCTTAACTTGCATCAGCTTATGAACATCATACTCACGAACATGATATATGGACATGATGTCGTTATTATTATTATCGTAAGGTTGCTTCTCATGGTGCCCTGTTCAAAATACAAAGTTATATATATTCAACATGTTATGATGATGCAGCACAAAGAAAACTACGGAAGATGATGAACACGGAGTAAAGTACAATCATACTGTTTGATAATTATTCAGTTAGTACTGTTTGATAAGGTATCAATACTACAATTACCAGAATAATAGTCTTTTGCATTATAAATTCCAGAAAGTCCACCAATACGAACATTTCCAAACTTAACAACTCCTGCAAATCCGAGAAAGAAAATTTGTGGAGCAGCCCACCCACCATAGTACCTAAAACAATAAACAATATGACATCAGCAAGCAATTCTAATTTTTTCATTATCCTACAAAATGGCAGGAAAGCGCGTGTTCTCTCAATGTAAATTAGTAAATTTATTCTTCCTCTTTTTCAAATTATTGCGATAGTGAATCTATTTTCTTTTGCTATTTTATCCCCAACATATGCAAGAAATCCAATAGGTGGTCACTGAAGTTCAAATTCTACATAATTATTAGTCTTCATTTCAATGAATACATATAAAAGTGATGAGATTCACAATCTAGTGAGAAAAAATCAAAGCTATCAACATTATTATGGAAAGGATGGACTCACAACTCCCAAAGATAGTTGGATGCTTCATGATTACCACAAATGAATAAAGTTGGAAATGGTGCAGCTTTCTCTCCAGAGTAATACTTCCAAAAGGAATTCATAGTCCGATAGTTGGCTGGCACCTTTAGGCTCTCCAAATCTTTCACATTCCGAACCGCCTGATAGCTCCCAAATTAAACAAGTAAATTAAGATTACTGAAAGCAAATTCATCAAAAANTCTCTACTCAAACATTCATGTTTATATTCAAGTGATATGGTACTGTGTAGTCTTGGACATCAAACCGAAACTAGATTTCAGAAGAAATTTCATTTCTAATGGAAAATTAAGAAGATGGTTCGTAAATATCATGTGCACTGATACTCATATTAATCTGATCCATCAAACAGAAACAAAAAAGTATTTCCTATATTCGATCTGTCAATTGTTACATATTCTGGAATGGGGATGAGAAGTTGCCATCAAGATTTAGTGGGAAAACTATGTTTTGATAGAGATCTCTTCGTTGTCATTAGCAAGGAAAATTCTCTACCAAAAAAATTCATCAATCTTACTAATGTTAATTCACCAAATTTGTTCAATACTTGTCATTACATGTCACCTATCCACAGACTTCTTTCCACATGTTTTCATGGATTCGTTCACAAAACATACATTAAACAATCACGGAATAAGCCAAAAGGCATACAGGGAAAAAAAAAAAAATCATAGTAACCAAATGGGAGAACTGCGAAATAAGAATTTACCTGAAAGTCCCTACAACAAATGAGAAGATCAATCTTTTTTTTCAACTTCTTGCAGGTGTAATAAAGTGGCATATACATTGTCCAAATCTCCATGCGTGCACCCTTCTACCGCTATTTTCATCTAAAATTATATATTCTCAATCAAAAGCAAAATTAAATGGGCCTTCAAACCGAAGGTAATAATGATTACATAGTGACATCTAGGTAGGCTTACAAGCACGATATATTGAAAATGCAAGTATATCAATTACTAAATTTGCAAAAACTTCAATTTCATAACTCTATCAGCAAAACTTTTCATAAGCATTAAAATGGAATAAGGACCTAAGTCACAGGGGCGCAATCAAGCTTAATAAAGGACAAGCTAAAGTTTAGATGACATATGCTCATCTACACCAGGGGAAAGTTCCAAAAAAAAAAAAAAAGTTGCAACTTTTGTAAAGGTTAATGAATAACAGAGGCCCATCTTCTAGGCAAGAAGAATACTGTCTTTTCAAAGTAAAGCACCTTCCTTTCTTCAAACAGTTACAGTTTTAGCACATAATCCAGTTAAAAACAGTAACAGATATGAACAAAACCACAGCAAAAATACGAGCTTTATGAAATACACAAAGAGTTCACAAAAGTTGAAATTCAAATACCTTATTAACTCAATTGGCGGGTGGCTGATTTGGGTTCGAGTGCGACGGGAATTTCTTGAGCAATTTACTTCACCCAAAATCGACGTTTAACCTAACTTTTTCTTTTCTTTTCCCCCAAACGAGCAATTATATTAAAACTGAAACAGAAACCGAACTTATCTCGGTTACGGGGATTTTTGGTGAAATTCACTAGGAATAGTTATCACATATTATTTGCCATAATTCTAAGCTTTGATTGATACATGTGATGTGAAATGTCAGTTAGATATGATTATTTCTCTAATATATTAAATATAAATTATTATTTAATTTATTGTATATTTTTATTCTACAGTTATTATAATAGGGTGATTTATTTAATTAAAAAAAAATAAGTGGACAAAAATAAAAAATAAAAAACTGAAAAAGACGTATTCTCGGAAAATTTCATTAAAAAAACGTATTCCGAGAATATATTTTTCAAATAATTTTGTAAAATTAAAAAAAAAAAGATTTCCGTTTTAAAAATGAAATTCAATTAAAATTAATAATTATAAAACATATTTTAAATATACTTTTTTTAAAATAAATTTAAATGTAAAAAAAAAAATTGTAAAACGTATTTCCAGAATACGTTTTACAATCAAATATAAAAAAAAAAAAAAAACTCTACTTCTCCCTCACTTACGCGATAACAGAGAGTAGGAGCAGAAAAAAAAATGAGCGATTTTGAAGAGAGCTTTGGGGAAAAAAAACGCGATCCAATTCTTATCCGACGCAAATCGACAACAACGACACGAGCCTCATTTCCGATTAATTCATTCGCACGAGGTATATTGGCTTATCTTAACTTTTTACATTGTTTGGAATTGTTTGGAAATTGGGAATTGTTATAGTATGTTTGAATGTGGTGGTGTTTTAAGATTGGGATTTGTTAATTGTTTATCGATTATGTGTGTATGTTGAATTGGAGATTGGAATTTTGTTGTAAATTGTCAATTTTCGTTGAATTTCTTAAGACTCAATAACGATAGTGTTCTTCAGTATATTTATTACCTTCCTCCTATGTCTATGGTGTATTTGCATTTATCGTTGGAGGCAATTACACCGGTTACACAAGTTGAGGATGTATGGGGATATTACGAGGGAGTAGTGGATGTTGAGGGTACGTCAACTTCGCATCTACGTAATTTTGGAGAAGGGACAAGCTCAACAATGCAATGGAAAAATGAGAACTCGGAAGAAGAAGAAGGCGATGAAGATTTCATTCCTGGTGAAGATGATTTCACAGATGAGACATGAGAAGAGTGAACCCGAATTGATTGAAGAGGAAGACCCTCTTCCTAGTGGTGGTTGTCACATTTATCGCGAGATGGGTGAATAGGAGCCATCGAAGATAGATGAGAACGAGTATGCTCTTTCACGTTGGAATGGAGACATTGAGACCATACGTTTGGGTACAGTTTTTAAGAGCAAGGAAGAAGCACAAGCCGATATCTTGGCTTGGAACGTTGATAGCCTGAAGGTGGTTCGGACAACAGATTCTAATCAAAAGTCATACAAAGTGGTCTGCAGATCTAATGAAGATGAACCTTGTGTGTGGAAGGCTCGGGTGACTAAGAAACGGGTTCATGAAATGTGGGAATTAACTGAATGGACTGACAGACACACTAGTATGCAACGGGTCGAGAGAAATGACCACAGAAACGTAACTGCCTGTATGATTTCAAATCTTGTAATTAACAAGATTGAAAAGAAATTGGACTACAACGTAATACTGATCCAGACCGATGTGAAACAGTTCTGGAAAGTCGATGTCAGCTACAAGAAGGCGTGGCACGGAAGGAGAAAAGCCATCGAGCGTGTGTATGGATGTTGGGAATCGAACTTCGCAGAACTCCCTCGGTAAGCAAAAATTAATTACAAATACATGTGTCATTTGTCTGTCATTATGTTTATCTATTTATGAAACCGTTTTGTAATTTGCAGGTTTTTTGCCGCACTTCAAAGAGCGAATCCCACCACAGTTGTACAGTAGGAATGGCATGGTGGGGAAATGGCGCATCAGTTCAAGACAGACAATTCAAATTTATATTCTGGACATTTGGTCCCGCCATTCAAACCTTCCAACGATGCCAGCCGGTCATTAACATCGATGACACACATTTGTGCGGATCATACAAGGGAAAATTGTTTGTGACTATAGCACAGACAGCGAATAAGTGGCTATTGCCAATCGCCTATGGAATGTTGATGAAGAAAGCAAGGATAGCTGGTCATTTTTCCTGACAAATGTGCGGCAATATGTTGTGTTCGACCGACATATCTGTGTTCTCTCCGACAGGGATAACGGCATACTCAGTGCTATTGACTCGTTGGTTGGTTGGCAAGAACCCACTGCATATCACTGGATAAGCAACGTGGTCACTAACTTTAGGAATAAGAAAGTGCGTGATTGGTGTTGGGATTTGGGTTCGCAGTTGTCGGAGCAAAAGTTTCGTGCGACAGAACAACGACTGTTGGAATTTAATCCCCAGGCACACAAGTACCTTTTCGATATTCCCTTGAACAAGTGAACCCTGTATGGAGATGAAGGAAGACATAGATGGGGCACATTGATGACCAATATGTCGGAGAGCTACAACAACGTCTTGAAAGACGTTAGGTTCCTGCCGTGCAGAGCTTCGGTACAGGCCACATCGGACAAAACTCTGGATTTGTTCGAACAGGAACAAAAGAAGGCCACGAGATGCATGAGTCCCATTGCTACTCAGCACTGTATCACCTATTTGGAATTGGAGAAGAGAGCCGCAACTCATACTGTGAAATGTGTGAACGCCGAAAGGTCCAGGTACAAGGTGTGAACCGGTCTACGGGTTAGTGGGAGAGGGCAAAACAGGTATATGATTTATTTATTTTTTTTCCATTGAATTTTTGAATTTTTATATATATAAATGATTGTTTGTGTTAACAGCTATAAGGTTAACTATCCCCGGAAACGTTGTAGTTGTCTGAAGTGGCAGACACACAGGAAACCGTGCTCTCATGCAATAGCTGTAGCTCGTCAAATCAGGACTGATCCAAAGTCGTTGTACGATAATGCATTTTGGACGGAGACTTGGGTAGCTCAATTTACTAATTGGGGTTTTGCTCCAATTGGTACTGCAGATACATGGGCGCTGGTGGGATGGAATTTGATACCATATTGGGAGAGGATGATCTTGAAGTCTGGACTCGGTCGCAAGCAAACGAGACGCTATCGCATGCAAATGGATCGTCGGGCGCGCCGCAAGAATGATAGGGGACAGTGTTCAAGATGTGGTAATCCCGATCATATTGTGGATGAGTGTCCGTCCTCACATCCTCGCACTGATAGGTGACTTTGTGATGAGTGGGGGAACTAAATTTGTTAGTGTTTATTCGGATTTGTTTGGAGGGTTCATTTGGATTTGGTTGGATTGTTTATTTTGTTTTGTATGGGTGGTTTATTTTATTTGAATTTGTTTGGATGATTTATTTGGAATTGTTTGGATGGTATTTGTTGACATCAAGATAGAATACTTCGATATTACAATACAATTAAAGAAGTCGCGAAGATTAATGCATAAATTAGATTCTGGACGACGTCAAGCAGTACATTCTGCATCTCGGTAACCTCACCTCGGTGCCAATAAGGGATCACGGATATTTGGAAGGTCATCAACACAAGTCGTCTGAACCTCGAAGAAGGCCAATTCGGTCAAAGAATTATTTATTAAGAAGTCGCAGAATATCGGAAATTAATCAAGATGCCGACATCGCAAGACAAACCGACTTCGATCCGACAGAT